GAATATCGGTCCATAGTGTACTATCAAGTCAACGGTGGATGGAAACAGTCAAGGTAATAATAATACATTATAATAATAGCAGCTAATACATATCTGGGGCTCAGAGGCACCTCCCTGGGATCTGGAGCAATATCCCACAGGTGTCGGTGGCGCACCGGGCTGTGGAAATGGCGGGCCCGTGGGTGAGCACTCTGGCTCTCTTGCTCTCTCTCCACTGGCCGAGGGCCTGGCCACCGTGCAGTTGTCAGATGGTCCTCTCGTGGGTGGTACCCAGCCCACCAAGCTGTGTCCTGACATCAGCAGTGAGGAGTGACAGAGCTTGTGAGGCTACACAAGGCCACTTAACACCTGAAGGATAACCTGCTGGAGGGACCTCAGAGGGAAGCGGCATTAATCACAGATATTCACATTCCTAGATGGTCACACTAAGCAGAAGGGAAAGCCAGGCACTGGAGGAAGAGTTGGGAATTCATTCAGGGAACAGGGAAGCCTGGTCCCAGCTTCAAATAGCTCTGCCTGTAAGGAGCAGCAGGTTTGACTTCCCCTGTGCTCTGAACCCAAACTCAGATGTTCACATGACTCAAGTTTCAGAGGTATATGCAGACCCTGAGGTCCTTGCCTGGTCACCTGTATTCCTGTTCCCCTCAGTGGGTCTCCCTGTAACAACTTTCTTAAAAATGATGACCTGCCCAGCTTTGGGGTCACAAGCTATTGAACCAGGGCGGGGGGTGTCCTCTTCTCTGTGTTCTCTTGCACCCCAGTTATACCTCCTTGTTGGTCCTTGTAAACTTTGTGCACAGTCAGACACCCCCCTGGTTCCATAGCTTTGTGACCCCAAAGCTGGGCAGGTCATCTTGTATAACTAGGCGCCGCCCCATGGGGGCCACAGGCTCTTTGAATTGCAGGGACTTACACGAACACAGCCAGGGCCTCCTCACATGATTGTAGCTTATAGTAACCACTCAGCGTGCAGGAGAGAATGGAGTGGACTGCAGCTGCCCATGAGGCCCTCAGGTCTTGTGTTCTGTCTGAAACACCCAAATGGGGACCTCTGCAGGCTCCATGTTAATTTTCTGGAGTGGAAAGCGCCCCAAGTATGCATCTGTTTGGGTTTTAATGGTCTTCTATACAATGTAAACGTGCCCCTTTTTAAACACCAAAATGGTTTCTCACAGCTCGCTGAGCTTCTCTGCCGAGGCCTGAATTGCACATTACAGAGAGAGCTGTAGGCTTTGTGGGAGATTTACTCAAATGTTATTGGATTCCAGCATTTTTATTAATTTTCATAAATGGGGGTCCTCAAGCACGCCCCCTAACGACTATTGCTAATTTGCTAAGCCCTGCTGCCATTGCCCGAACTCCTGTGGTGAGCCAAGAAAGTGTGTGGTGTGCAGTCTGCAGCACATCAAACCCTGGGCTGAAGTTATGTGACTTTTATATCAATTTGGGGAGATTCATTTCCCCTTACTATAATTTACAGATCTCTTTTCATTGACTGGGATTGCAATTTGCCAAATGGATTACATTTGGTACTTTATTTTCTCTTCATAGCTAGTCCTTATGTAATTTATTTACAGTTCATCAGGCTTGATGGGTGGGTGATAATAAATCAGCGTGCAGGGCCCTCCAGTAAATGGCCAGGCTGCCCTTTCGGGGGGGGGGGAGACTGGGGAGGACCGTGTAACGCATGGTCTCCTGAGCTCTGGTTTCTGCCTGCGGAGGTGGCTGTCCCCATCGAAGGCATGCAGAGGATCCATCTGCGATTCATGTTTCGACATCGGTCATCCCTGGAATGTGAGTACAACCAAGTGGCATCTGGGGCGAGAGGAGGGGGATAGCCGGGTGGCCCATGTGTCCTCCTCTTTCCTGACCTCACAATGCCACTTCCAGCTAAAGATAAAGGAGAAAAGAACTTCGCCATGTCCTACGTGAAGCTGATGAGGGAAGACGGGACCACTCTGCAGGACGGATACCACGACCTGGTTGCCCTAAAGGTACAGTGAGTTGGAACCAACTCTGCAGTGAGGGGGCTGCAGGAAACAAAGGGGACAAGGTGGGGTAGATTCCTGGTTAACAACAGGGACCCCTGGACCACACACACCACGGCTTACCAGCTGTGTGGCCTTGTACAGAAGCTAACTTCTCTGGGCCTCTGCTGCCTCATCTATGAGCCCTCAGTGAATAATTGTGAGGAGTACATGAGACAGTTTATAGAAATATGACAATGGTGGGTACATGGAACACTCAATATGTGCAAAATGTGAACTCTGAAAGGACCTGTGGGATGTGTAGACATTCGACAGATTCCTCCCTGTAGCTAATGGGGGAATAGTAGGATTTGGGGTCCCGATCCCGCTGCTGACCAAATCTGAACTCATCTCACATGTCTCCCTGAGTCTCAGTTTCCTTTTCTTCAGTGGTGATGGTGATATTTGTGTCGAGCCCGTGAGATGACCCTTGTGAAAGGGCCGTGTGTAAAGGGTACAGATGTCAGCTATCATTGTTTTTGCATCGCGAGACTTAGACTGTTTTGGAGAAGTGAGAAGGCGTGGCCTTGGATTGTATTGCATGCTTCCCTGCGACCCCTGTGACAGCTGGGTGCCTCTGCTAGCTCCTGGCTGTAGACAACGTTGTGGCTGCGAAACAGCAACGGCCAG